TAATTTTGACAATCCCCCATATCCAAACCTACTAAAGTCTCCGCCCTCACCACTTGACGGCTCATAGATCACTACAAACGGAGTTGCAAGCTTCCTGAACTATAGCCTTTGTGACCACGTTTATCCTGATGGTAACCCCAAGCATGGGGGAGTTTCTCAAGATGTTATCGACTGGCCTTTTTATAGTGCCAAAGAGGGTCCCATAGAATTCCCCAGACCCCCTTGATGATTCTTGTCACTATAGATCCCTAGGCACCCCGGTTTGCGAAAGCCTCGTTTCCATCCATAATCTGCCCATTAGGAGTCAGCAGGGGCCTGAATCAGACATGTTGCGCTACATTCACAAATACCTACTTGTTATGCAAGGACTGTGGCGTCCCAACAGGTTAAACTAAAAGGTCACAGGTTACATGCCGGACCCCCATCTGCAGGTTCACCAGAATTTACAAGTGGGCGATGAGTCATTCAGACCAAGTAAGAACTGCAGTTCTCCTACTCCACTCGGAACTGCGTGAGCACCTGCAAAGAATGACAGTTTCAGGCCTCTTAACCGCAGCATCCCCTCTATGCAAGTCAAAGATAAGGTTCAAGCCCTGGCGTTCAACCCCCTGGGGGTTGAGCCAGAACAGATCAAATTCTTCCTAGAGAATGCTGTATCCGAAAAACGAAAATATGATCTTACTCTGTAGTTGATCCCAATATCCCGGTATCCGAAAACAAACTCCGACTCGCGCAGAGTCTGAACTTCGCTGCTGCAGAGACTGACGCGCCTCCTGCATCTGCGAAGTACGCTTGTGAGCTCCAGTATCCTTGCCTCAGGTGGGCATTTTCGAAACATAGGGGTCTCCTTACATATACTCCCATTTCTTGCTACCTATTGTAGGGGCTCCTAAATAGGAAGCCCCAAATTTGGAAACCCCGTGAGTAGCTGGGAAGTCAATTCAGCATGCTCCTGCCTCCAGGCGGCATGACTGTTAGGCAAATGCCTGCAGCAGCCCATATTCTTACTGTTATGACGATTCGCGTTGCACAAAGTGACTTTCTTGCAATTCAGTTGCTGTTCCTGTCAGTGTTGCTTTTTAATATCCTGGTGGGCCCAATCTCAACCTAAGAGTTCTCCATTCTGAGAAACCACCCCTGATTCTGATCTGAAAACCCTCATCCCCAACCCGGTAACCAAATCTGACTCTTAATCTAAGGCCGGCACGGTACGCCCCTGCACTGGCTGCCTCAACATGAGCCACCATTGGCAGGTTGCCCCAAGTAAAGGGTTCATAGGGGCTCTGTTAGTCTTTGGGGATTGACCGGGTTGCTGCTTCATTGAATATGGGCAGGCACCTACAACCCTGGATCTCCCACTAGCATCGACTTTGCGTTGCGTTTGTATGAATCATTGGTGCGGTCGTGCGGAGGACTTCCGTGAAGCTCACAGTTTTGTTCCTGAACTGCAAACGGCAACAGATTTTCTGCACAGCCCCTCTCCCCTAAGCAGTAATTATTACTGATTCTTGAAGCCCAGAACTCCAGAAATCCAGAGCAGGGTCCCTGCGCAACTCACCATGCCAATCTTTTGCAATCTCATCTCCTACAGATGTCATCCCGAAGTCTCCGGCTGTGCAGAATAGGGATGTGTTCAAGCAAAAGTTAACGGACAAATCTCTGAGCAGCGCAAAACAGAGGGCTTGAAACTGCAAAGCCTTCCATTCAGAGAAACACACTACACGCAAACATGCCAACTCCTTTCATATTCCCAAAATTGACAACCCACACAGCTAGCCTCATCCTAGTTTCTCGTCAGAACACAAAGCAGAGTTTAGCTTTGCTCTTTAAGACGTCGGCCCACAGGGTCCGGAACACATCGGCCAGGCCGCGTCTGGCGTGCCTCGGACGGATGAGAGAGGCATGCGAGGCAAGGAACTAGGACATTCACTGGCTCCCGACTCGTGCTGATGGGCCATGAGCCTCTCACAGTAAAACGGCCACATCAGTATCTATACTTGATACGTCTCCTTTACTATTGACGAAACTCTCACTTCACAGATACAAGGTTCAGAAAGCAGAAGGTGTCGCGCTTACACGGCCCTATGTGCTCTCCTGCATAGACAAGCTTAGACTTCTTACAAAGATCGGAACAAACAAGTTGGAACCTCAAGTATGAATGACATGCAAAACCTACCAGTCCCTGCACTGGTAGTGCTAGCTACCACAGACGTCAGTGTCAATGCTTGCGTGCACAAAAGCCCTGCGTGCCCGAAAAACAGTATGGTCTTACTTTGGGCGACCCCGAACCCCACCTAAAAGCCGATAAAGTGCCATGCCTTGGCCTCTGGACTAGTGGCCTTGTTCGGCTTGGAGGGGGCTTCGGGTTTCACCGGTGCCCCGGACCAGGTCAAACGCTGATCAAGGCTTCGGAAATTCTTGCCATCTTTCTAGAGCATCCGCAGGTTCGCATAGAATCGATCATATGCTGAACACACGCTCTGGTTGTCTCGTCCGATTCTGCAGGAAATCATTGGTTCGTTGCTTACAGTGCTGAGTAAAGTATATAAAGCTAAACATGCCAAATAGGCCCTATTGAACGGCAGCCTGCACCTGTAAGCCAAGTGTGTTCTCAGTTGGGCACTTCGAGAAAGCCAGAGGATGAGGCATTTACAAACATGCAGCTCCCATAGATGGCATGAGGGATTGTGGCGTATTTGGGGTTTCCTCTCAGCCATGGCACGTCGACGCCATACTGGCCGCAGACGATTCTTCCACTAATCAACGAAGCGTATTGACAAGATCTGGCATGTTCTTGTTAGGCTGCTGAACTAATGTTGACTCCACATCAAGGACTAGATCCACATTTGTAAATCCCGCCGCCCGAACACAATTACAACAAGACGCACAGTTATAATATGCCCAAACAAAATATTTTTTTTCCGGGCAACGATTTTAACTAGACTCGAATTGATTCCAAATAGTCTTTCAAACCAACAGTTTGGGCATCATTTTTCCGGGGCTCCCTCAGAATGATAGATCAATTGGACGGATGTGTGGGTTAACAATGTGAAGCCAACATTTCTCTGTTAGATCGTTACTTCTACCAACGGTGCAGCTGGGTTTATTGGAATGAAGCCAAACCTCCTGGCCGCGGGTGATGATTCCATGTAGGTACCCATTGGGGTAATATTCGGGTTTGTTGGGATACTGGAAATAAAGCGAAAACTACTAGTATTTAAGGGTTTTTTTTATGGGACCTTTTCTCCAAGGGCGAATTGTCCTTAGGATGCCATTAAGGTTTAGGGTTCAGGGTTTACGGGTATAGGGTTTAGGTTTTGGGTTGGATGGAGGAGGGGGAGGATGCCCATCCACTGGATCATGCGCTGAGCCTGTCACTGGCCGGCTATGGCGCCAGCATTGAAGGACCGCTTGAGTTCCTGCAACGTTGCTTCTCATTTGGGGCAGTAAAAAAACCCGTTCCCAAGCTTGTTTTCCTTAACACAATGTTATCGGTAAACTTCCTCTGACTGGGGGTTTGCTCTTCAGGGACGTATCCAAGAGGTTCAGCACATGCTACGATAGTGGACTGCAGCAGTGGGCTGGTAGCGGAAGAGTGTTACGAGCGGGCGAGTTAAGTCGCATCACTGTACAGCCTTGGCCGGGGGCCATGGGCTTCCGAGGGGTCTCAAGTGCTCAAACGTGTTATCGGTAGGTTATCGGTAGCGTTATCG